AAAAACATGTTTTTTTAACATTTTATTTTACACTTGGTGCCCCACATATATAGTGTTTTGATTAAATGTTTGCAACAATTGAATTCTGTCAAAATACAGTAGCTATAACTATAAATACCTCATCACCGTATCATTTGAAATAAATTTCTGAAACATAGGCTACTATTTTAAAGCAAGTTTTTGTGAAAAAAAAAAAAGATTTTAAGCAAAAATCAAAAATGCTTACTTTATTTTTCCTGCGAGCTAGCAAAGTTTTTATTTTTCTTCCAGTTGGGAAATCTTAATATCCAAATATTATTTGAGGTTTCCTCTTTAAAATGACTTTAAAAGTTCCTCAGGAGAATAACCTAAATCTGGACTCAAATCAAATTTATCATCGTAAATAAGACAAATTAAGTCCCATCTCTGGAACTGCTCATCTGTGCAGCAAAGATTACAACAACAACAACAACAACAACAACAACAACAACAACAACAACAACAACAACAACAACAACAACAACAACAACAACAAATCCCGTTCTCATGTTAAAAAGAAGACGGAAATCCCAAACTTTCTGAGCAGCTCAGCCGGAAACATTAAAACTCTGTCGGGTCGGGTCGGTTCGGTTCGGATGGTTTTTACCGATGTCGATGGCGGAGCAGCGCAGAGCCGTGAAGGCCAGCAGCAGCAGGAGGAGCAGGAGGAGCAGCTGCCTCTCCACATCCATCCTTCACCATGAACACGATCAGTCTGAGGTAAAGCCACCGGACACCAGCCTCCCTCTSTTTTATTTCATCTTTGCAGCTTTGGCTTCTCCATAATCAATACTGCCTTGAAGTTTAATCCCGAACCGCCTCCTGGTTCTGTCGGGATGTGTCCTCTCATCTCCATGACAACACACAGGAAGCACGGATTAGGATTAGGGATGGAGGGGGGCGGGGCTCCGCTCCTCAGATGAAAGCACGGAGTCATGTAGAAGTTGATAACCTTTTTAGACTTGCTGAGCCATTTTGTCATAGCAGGCTACCCCTTCAGTCAAACCTAATGAAGTAATGATTCTCCAAAACTCGCTATAATGTCGCTCATAAGTCGCTATATATATATAAGTCGCTAATAAATAATAAACCAGGTGATGTCAGGTGCAGAAAACAGCAGCGTCCAAAATACATCAAATGYCACAAATAAGCAAATTCTGCRTTTTATACTGGATTCCATTTTGTGTCAATTCCKTGATTCAGTCTGCATGTTCCCCGTTGTGGAAATCATAGGGCCCTATACAGTATATCTCGGCCCAGTCCTAGTTTTACTTTTTTTTTTAAACACACCTGGGAAGTTTTTTCACTACCCCCTATAATGTGCTCGTGTACCCCCTTACCCTGGTTGGGAATCATCGGTATAAACCACAGACATACACTCCTGATCAAAATCTTAAGACCAGTCAAAAAAGTGCCAGAATTTGCATTTTGCACTATCGGAT